CGAACAACTTGAGGCATCTTCTTCCTTTTTAGTACTGTCTGCCTCGGTGGTGGCTTTTTCTTTTAGTTTCTTTTTGCAAACTTTAACAATGTCGTACATGTGAAGGTAACTGGCAGCTGCGAGCACGTCTTCAATGGGCAAATCTTTGAATTGGAGTTTCCCTTCATACATGAATTCAAGTAGGAGAGCGAAAGCTGGGGCTGTAACAATGTCGCTGTTCAGATGAACAATGTCTCTTTTGTCCAGCTGGTCCTTGTAAAATAGGTGGAAGTACATGCTGCATGAAGCCAGTACAGCTCTGTGTGCTCGGAATTGGGCATCTCCTACCAGAACAGTGCAGTCACAAAGGAAACCTTGATGCCTCTGTTCCCTCAGACACTGTAGTAAATGCCGGCTGTGGTCAGGGAACTCCATGCTGTCTTCATAACCTAGAAGCAAAAAAGATTTAATTAAACATTGGAAATATTCATTGGCTACATTTGATAATTCGGCAATGGGTACAAAAACCCGAAGTAATGCTCTGTAGAGAAACGGAAATAAATTAAGATTTCATGACTTTCTGTTAATCACTTTTTGCAACTTTCAGAGTTCTCTATTAACCGTTTTGTTAACCGTAAAGAAATAGACTGAGAGGTGCAGATGAAAATGAATATTCAGAACTTGAAAGTTACAACAGCCTTTTCCTATTTGAATTCAGAAACAGATATCTCTGATATAACTTGTTTAATCCTAGAAAGGGGGGGGGGCATTAAAAACTAATCTTAACTGATTAAAATAACAATGGCTTCTAAACTGTCTTGGCACAGATCATCGCTGGCCTCATCTGTGAATGCCAGTTTTTCCATTTTCTTTTTCTAACAAAATAACTGATTACCAGACATCCCCCTTTAAAAATAGACAAAAATGCAAACTCTTTATATAAAAGGCTTTTTAAAAAAAATTAAGACTCTTCTATTAAGACAGTCCTATGTTACTGCTGCATATCAGTTGAAACAATTTCAGCATAATTCACTAATCTTTTCTCCCCTTGGGGTCGTGTAACCATTCAAAATGAGCATTAGAGTTTTCTACATAAACATCTTAAGGATCTTCTTTATTTTCTACTACTTACAACTGAAGTTGTGCTAAACTAGTTACATACAGCTGCTGCATCTTTGGGTATTATATGTTCTTAAAGTTACACTCTGGTCCAAAGTATATTCTACTGCTAGAATAAAGCAAGAAGATTTACAATACAATCACTTTAAGTGCCCCACAGCCAACATCAATCCTAATCCTTAAGAGGGCTAAAAATAAAGATTGGAGGGCAGCTCACAAGGTAGCTGTGATCAAATTAGGAGGCTGAAAGGACAGAGAGGGACGAAGAAGGAAGCTTATAAACATCTGATCCAGCTGACTGTAGCCATATGGCAGCTGCTGCCCAGATAAAGAGATTAAGAATAGAGGAGTGCGATTACAGCTGTCTGGCCAATTCAGGCAGCTCAAATCTACAAGTTCTAAATTAGTCGTGAAAACAAAACCCTTCTTTCAGTTATTGTTGTACTGAAATAAACTTTAATATATTTCCAGGGGGGAAAAAAATAGGGTGAAACTGACTAAGTTAGTTTCAAGGTAGGTGGGATCCTAAAGTTGCATAGACATTCAAGTCCTTCCCCCCCCCAAAAGGGGAGGGGGGGGCTATAGATTTCAAGATCTCTCAATGGCTTGGGCAAAGCATAAATGTGAATAGTATAAATCGTCATGCATATTCATATATAGTTTTCATTTCAATTATCATTTCAAATCTTATTTTCATATTTTTACCTTTAGAAACAGTACTCTTAGAACAGCCATCATAATTGCAATATCAAAATGATTCCCTAAACTATAAATTATTTTTTCAAGTGCTCGTAATAAAAACAGGGGAACTACATCATTTAAATAGTTATTTTAATATTACTGCACAGGAACAAATGCATCAACATGTATTTAAAGTCTTAATTACAATAGAAACTATTATTCCCTTTTCAATGAACCCTACTAATTTTTTCCTAAACATCATTAAACAAGTAATGGGATTTTTGTTTGGAAATTAAATAAACAAACATCAAGAGAGAAGCACACTGTAGCTAACCTCCTGCTGTTCCTACCTTTAGCACACATAAACCTGATTAAGTCCTTTTGTCCGAGTCTTGCTGGCTCCAGGTCTGTTAGATCGGTGGAAAAAGGCAGACTAAGAAAGAGACAGATGCAAAGTGGAGATGATGTTAGAGAGGAATGAGATACCTTCCCTACACACAGATCTGCAAACACACTCACTCCCTGTCTGTGTGTTAGAATAAAAGGCTGAGGGATGGCAGGCTGTCAGCTGCTCTGACATCATGTTCAGATGGAAATGTTACCTCCAGCTGTGCTCCTTTTAATGCCATATGCTACTCCTCTACACTCCTTCCACCAGCTTTTTCTTAGGAGAACTTTTCTTGTCTGTTAGTATAAACAAAATACTTCAAAGTCTCTTTTTTCAAAACTTTCTAACAGAGAAAAGTAAAGAAAAAAAATCTTAGACATATGGGGCTTCATTGCATGTACAGTATAGAAGCCCTTCTGTCATAACTTTGGAGGGATTTTTTTTTATATTGAGAACTTACCCATCCATTTTACTGAACCCAGAGGTTCATTTTAAGCAATTCATTTTACCCAACCTATTTATCTTGATACTCAGTTTATCTTTTCTATCAATTTAGAAAGAACAGACTTAGAAAAACTTTATATAAATATCAGTGCAATTGTACATTAACTCATTTTACTCACTAATGATGTAATAATTATATTTTTATGTACCATAAGGAACACTTTTCTGGGCACTTATAAGTAATCTACATGCTCAATGTGCTCTACAGATCATACTACTGCAACTACAAGAACGAAATAATAGTAATATTCCCCTCGTAATAAATTTGTAAAAAGTGCAGTTATTTCAAGGAGTGTTATCAAGCCTGTTTTATCTGTGGCATGAAACTGAATACAAAGTTTGCTATTCATTAGTAAGGCAAAAATACTATCATGCACTTCAAAATTATTGCCATTTTTATTCCGTATGCATATATTAAACCTATTTTGAGAATGGAAAAAATGTAATGACCTCCCTTAACTTTACAGGAAAATGCTGTGAGTAATCGGGAAATAAACTAAAATGAAACAAGCTGTTCATCTCAGCAGAATAGACAAGTATCCAGCTTGCCAGTCTTAGGCCACAGACAATGTTTAATTAACAAAGTTTTCTGCACCATTTACTCATAACTCTCTCCCCCCCCATCTCATTTTACTATGGTAGCTGGTTAATTCAAGCAATTTCTCTTTTGACACTGTTCTTAATAGAATTTTACAAATGAAGCAAAAGTTCTAGGTGAATATGAGACAAACACAGCATGGCAGATGACTTAATTGTGATTTTCCCCTTTCACCTTTCATAGAGAGTGACACCAACTTGAAGATTAAGTCAGCTATAACTTCATTTAACTCCTGACATATTGCAAAGTGTGTTAAGATTAAGCAAGTAAATGCACAGAGGTGGAAAGCAGCACAGACAGGAAAGAAGGAAGCAGGCAAATACAGGAATAGTAGTCAATGGAACAACAAAAGGAAAGTAAGGAGGAAGAGCTGAACACAAGTGTTCTGGGAGGGAGCAAATCTCTCTCCTCGCATCCACCCTGCCTTGTCTCCACAGCTGCACTGCTCTCCACATCACCTACCCCTTCTGACCTTTTGAGCTGTGAGACAAAACACACACTACACAGCCTCTGCCACACACAAAGGACTCCCTCTCTGCTCCCCCATCTGCTCCCAAGCTCAGCCCAATCCCCCTGCAAATCCCCCCCCCCCCGCCATCTCCCATCCTGCAAGTGAGGCTGTAAACTCTGAACCTTGCAAACTTACTCGGAACTGCTTTTATTCTCTCTCCTGCAGTTCCAAAATCTGCTCTGAAGCTTACTCTCTCCCTCTCCTCTTATGAAAGCCCCGTCCAGGACACACACCTAAGTCCACTTGAGACTTTTACCATCCAAAACAAGCTGTTCGCTCTCCAGCCCATTAAACCCGGACCCTCCTCTCTAACTGTCCCCGTCGGTCTTCACGGGTCTCGTTCCAAAAAAAAAGGAGGCTATGTCTCTCCCTCCCCCAACTTCGCATCCCACCGATCCCCTCCTTTTCTCCACCTGTTAAACCCTCCCCTCCCCCCCGATCAGCTCACTTTAAGCGGCTCTTCAGGGTGACTCAAGGCATCCTTCTCTCTTCCTGACATCTGCCCGCCCTGCCCTCGATGCCACTTGCCCCAAAGCTGCCAGTTGTCCCATAACAACCTCACACTCCCCCCCCCCCGCGGCAACCCCAGCACAACAAGCAACCTGCGGCTCTTACTCCTTCCTTAGCAACACGGGACGGCTTCCGCGCACCCGGCCGCCCCTCTCCGCCCAGTCCCCGCGGGGTCAGCCCCGGGACTCACACTCTGGAGCGGCCCCAGGTCCCAGCCGCGATCCTCCCTGCGCCGCTTCCTCCTCCTTCGGCCGCCACCGCCCCCTCCGCCGCTGCGGGCGCCCCGTCTCCCCGCCCGGCGTCCCGCTCGTTCCTCCTCCTCCTCCTCCTCCCCCCCCTCCAAGTCCGCGAGTGAGTGAGGGGCCACCAAAGCGGGGCAACGCGAGCGGAGCAATGGGGAGAGGAAGGCAGGGGAGGGAGGGAGCGAGGGGGGCTCCCCGCGCTGTCTCAGCGGCGCCCCATGGCAGCGCCCCGGAGGATCCCGGGCCGGCGGAGCGGGAGGGAGGGAGGGAGGGAGAGGGGGCGGGGAGTCAGGCGCACACAGCGCAGGAGCACGCGCGGCGGCGGCGGCGGCGGCGGCACAGACGGGGCCCGGGCTGCGGCAGCCAGATGTTTCCTCCCCTCCCCTCCCCTCCCTCTTCCCTTCCTTCCCCGAGCAGTTTCCCTGACTGACAGCGCAGCTGGCTCACGGAGCTGCCTCGTCCAATCGGCAAGAAAGAAAGTCGCTGATCGACAATGGAAGCCCGCCCAATGGCAACAGAAGGAAGCGAAGCGAGCTCACCGTTGTGGCTAATCAGCGTTTTCGGGGAGGGCTTATTGGCTCCACAGGCGTGTGGCTGATGATTGAGAAAGGGGCGGGGTTTTGTAGTCCCGGGTCAGTCCGCGCGTCCTTCGCGCTTCTTCACTGCAGTCTCCTCGGCCTCGGGAGGAGAGGGCCTCGGGCGGGCTGCCTCTTTTCTCCCTGGGCGCGGTGCATGGTGGGGAATAATGGCTATGGGTCTCTGGTGGGATAGGCTGAGGGTTACACGAGTGAAAGGCGAGGCCTGCCCGGAGGCTGCCTGAGCTTGGAGATTTGGTGGCGGTTCCGTAGCGCTTGCTGTTGCTGGGCTACTCGTCACGAGGGCTTCTCCGCCAGATGTGCCCGCTCATTTGTTTTTTGTTTTTTATTTTTTGCAAAACAGCGGCGGGAAGAAAAAAAAAAAAACCACCCCATAACTTGACGAGCTTTTTTCTTCTGCCCAACGGCTTTTTTTAGTTGCTTTCCTGCCATTTAACTTCTCGTCACTTTTTAATGGTTCAAAGGACTTCTTGCTGTAACGCCTTTGTGCTGCACGGAACTCGCGGTTTCCTCCCAGCCTTTTTATGCTCTTGTTTAACAAATTTGAGAAGAGTTTCTCATAAGCTTTGCAGATGCACCTCTCCCGGGGAGGCAGAAATGCGACCGTTGAGCTTTTCCTCTTACAAAAAAAAAAAAAACAAAAAAACAACAACAAAAAACACGATGGAGTGCCTGGTAATTGTCTTGCGGAGTTCTTAAAGGAGTAGAAGTCATTTTTGTTTTAGAGTAAAATGAGTACAATTGTACTCTACGTTTTATATCCCTTCATCGCTACTCATTAAATAAATCTTAGGGAATATCTCCTGTCCTTCCGCCATCTGCCCACCTCTCAACCCGTAACTTTGCAGAATTAAAAACGGAATTGCAGCTGCTTCAAAAGTGTAATTTTGATGAAAGGTCCAGACGATATTATTGCCCCTTTGTAACCTCTTGCGTTGTCCTATAGTATTACGATTTTTTTCCCTTTGCCATTCGCACCCAAAATACGTTGAATGTGAGGTTGAATAGCTGTAGATTGTATATTTTGATTGTTGGTACCTAGGAGCTGTCCACCTGGAAGAACCACCAACCGAAGTCAAGGCTGTGGGGTGGTCATTTATATATTGCTTTGAAAGGATAAAGGAAGATGTTAATCTGCATATAATTAGCCTGTTAGTTTATATGTAGAAATGGAAATGGACTGTTTGCATTCAGATAAATCGTAATACAACTTAACGTAATGCTAAAGGCTTTGTCTTTGCTGCTGCCAGATGCTAATTATCAGTGGGCAGTAGTATCTTAAAATACTCAGCTAGATGGCAGCACTTGGCTGATTGGGAAAAGCTGAGCAGGGACAATCCTATTTAATGTTTGGATGGGAAACCACTAGGAAGTGGCAGGAAAGTAGGCTATATTGAGAAGTCAAAAAAAAAGAGAGGAAAGTTGGCAAACTGTTTTGATCAAGAAATTTACTTGTATGTTTCCATGAAGTCATTTGGAGCTAGACGATGAAAACTTTAATATCTTAAGAATCTTGTTCTTGCTAGTTAACTTCATTTTAAGTTCTGACAGCAGCCTTCAAAATAGCTGTCTTTGGGTTATGCACAATACATGAACAGAATTGGCTTTGCAATGTTAAACTGGCCTGTTGTTGAATATCCGAGAATTCGCCTTCAGAGAACTGCTTATTAGCATCAAGTTCACTAGGGAACATCTTTTGTGCTGCCAACAATAAGGGCTTTCATATGTGGAAGAAACCTCAAAGTATAGGAGTTCTGCTTATATGGGAGTCTGTCCATGAACAGCTATGTAGTTACACGAGATGGGCAGCAAACAAATGTAAAATAAATGCAAATATGATCTTTCCAGATCTGTTCTGTGTGCTTGGATGTCAAGGGTGATATGTCTTAGTCTTTGCTCAGTTGTGATCATAACATATTTATAATGTCTAATGAGTACCTGTGATTGTTTTATTATTACTTTTATCAGCCCGTAAAGTAGCAAGTAGCAGAATATTTGGGACACCTTTATGAAGAGAGATGCCAGAGCTAGCTTGCCTGAAAAATAAGGATCTTTTTCTTAATAGTAAGAGAGCATTGTTTGCAGGTCTCAGGTTTTGGAATGCAAACACATTTTCAGAAGGATTGTTTTTGCTTTAGATGTGAACTTTACAGTTGGAAAAAACAGAGGGATGGGTAGGGATGAAAGTTTGTACCCAAAGGCAGTAGAGTAAATATGAAATTATTGACAATACTGACAGGAAGAAAGGAGTTCTTGCTACCAAAGCTGTGCCCCCCCCAGTTGTTGTTTTTTTTAACTTTTTTCAATTTCTCCTATTAAGAAAGAGTAGAAAGAATTTTGAATATGAGGTGGTGTATTTTCAACTTGATTTTGCAGATAGATAGGTAACAGTGTGCCCTCCGGAGCATATATTTCTTCACTCTATAAACATTTGCTTATTTATGTTGATGCAGGCTGTTTGGTGTACTTCACTATTAAACACACAGTGTGTTCAAGGGAGTTACCTTGGTGCCCTCGCTGCCTTTTTGTTTTAATTATTTTTTTAAAAAAATTTCTTTTTTGCAGGTCTGCTGCAAAGCAAGGCAACAGTTATATAGCCTCATAGATACTTGCAATAATGACATCTGGATCCCCCAAAAGTCCCACTGTAATGATAAGACATTGTGAGGGTGAACCTGCTTCCCTTCTGATAAACAGGTATTTGCGTCCAGTAATGGCCATCATGGCAGAAGTTTAAAAAATTCTCTCATAGAGCAACTTTATAAATGTAGTTACCATATACTTTGCAAGATAGCCAGCAATATAAATTTAAATGCTTCCAAATGCATCCTTGACCCAAACATTGTTTATTCCAACTTAAAATGCTGTGTGAACACACTAACATATACACAGAGAGATACAATGTCTGTGAAATAAAATAAGATTATTACACAGTTGTATTGATTTATATTTGTAGCCATAGCACAGCTTAGTATTAAACCATCCATATGGGAGATCAGACCCTATGTTTAGTCCTCACCCCTCCCCATCCACCCACCCACTTTGCTTGCTGAATAAATAAAAAAATACTTGTTTTGAAAAAAATGGTCCCTGTTGTATATTTATACAACATGGAAAATCAGGACATTTATGTTGTATGAGCCAAGAAACTTGAAAAGAGCTAAGTATTTTTGTTCATACAATATACTGGAGGAGAGCACTTTAACCACACTTTGTACCAAAGTTGGTAGCTGGTTTATTCATCTTTCTTTTTTTGGTACTGCTATACAGAAAGCTCTGGTTAATAAAGACCTGGCATCGTCCCTCAATTAAAACACTGATTGCTTTATTGCCTTGTCTTTTATCAACTTAGAGGGTTAATAATGTGCTATCACCACATTATATATTGCAACCTCACATGATTTAAACAAAATGACAATATTCATACATTACACTAAGCTGTGGTTTATTTAATTACAGTTAGCGTGGTTGGCTGCATTACACAAAACCCTAAACACAAAAGTAATTTTATAAGCCATTAAATACATACAACACACTAATCCCAAATCAAAACTTTATAGAACACACATTGTATGAGTCCAACCAATTATGTAAAAAGATAAAAGTCTAAATCTACAAATCATAGTTAAAAGCTAGCCATAGGTATTGTAACTTAATCATGGGAGTCATACCAAACAGGAGACCAAGCCAAAACAGTAAATTGCCAACTGCCTCCTAAGTCAATTGGCATTCCACCCACCTTTGCAATAGCTAGCCAGACACCAATTTTTGTTAATCTTTTACTATATAGGAAGGAAAAATCTCAAGATAGGACAAAGTTTAAGTTACCTTGCATAGGGTTACAAAAGTTTTCCATCCCTCCATTGTATTGGATACACCGTGGCTAGGCTGGCCCTGTTTTAGCTCAATGGCATATTGAGCCATAGAAGTGTCACTAATTAAGGAATGACACTGGATGGAGTAAATTGTCTGCATTCTGCTGGAGTGTTTTAATGTAATATGCACACACTTTAATAATATAAGGCTGATAACAATTGTATGGAATTTTTACATTTAAAAAGAAAAAAAGCCTGCATGCTGTTAACCAAATTGGTAGCAGGACTCAGTCTTTACTAGATCCTTCTAAAATATTGCAGGGATGATTTAAAGTATAACGTAGATTGTGGCATTGGGGCGGGGTGCAGAGCAAGGAAGTATCTGTATTTCCTTTTCTATTTTTAAAAAATGTCTTGCTAAGGTGATTATTTGCTATTATAGATCATCACCAGGTTAAATAGATGAAAAATAATTTTGGGAAAAACAAATCTTAAGTTTTATCATTTCCCCATTCATACTTATTTGAACTTCAAGTTGCACATGTAATTCTCATTTCAAAAGGATTTGGTGGCCAATCAGATTTTGCCTGACACTGCCGTTGTATCACCTTTAGCCCTAAGCCTTTCTGAAAGAAAAAAAAAATAGAAACAGAAGCAGTTTAGTAGGAATACATTTTTTCTATACAACATCTGGCAAGACATCTGGCCTCTACATACATTTTTAAAATATCTTTCATGTCATGCATCCCTAGGTAATACACAAAACAAGCACACATTTGAGGGATGAATTGGAGTTTGTAAACTGGAGAGAAATGTTTTTCATTGAGCGTAAAACAAGTTAATCTCTTTCGCCTGCCCTCCCCCACAAAAAGAGCCATTTGGGAGAATACACAGTAGATCTAAGAAAACCTTTCCCATCTTGAAATATGCCAACTTCAGTTTATAACACCCAAGTAATACAGAGCCCCGGGGGCTTGCTAGCTCAATTTGTGTGTTGCAATGTGGAATTGTAGTGAGGTGAAGGTATTAATGAACAGTAAGCATTGTTTAATGATGCATATACAATACAGATCTTTAAAATTGCAATTAGATTTTCCCCTAAATTATTTTTTTTTCTGAATCCTGTTTGAACATTGGCTCTACACTGAGTTATATTGTGTCTCTTTTTGCAGTAGCCTAGAAATATTTAATTATTTTCAGTCTTCTAAGGAATTAGTGCATCTTATACTCATTCAACTAGATTTCATATTTCCAGATTTTTTGGTCCAACAATTACTTGCTTGTTTCTTCTTTCTAGCAAGCTTGGGAAACTGATGCTCTAATGCAACTGAAAACAACTTCTGTACTGATTAGACCCAACAGGCATGTTTGGCAATCCTTTGTTTTATTTAAGACATGGTTCAAATATCAGCAAAATGTTCTTTTCACACTTTCTCCCTGGATATTTAACTACCTTGCCTCAAGAAGAATTCTTGGAAATTAAAAACTTCCAAGTATTCTGTAAACATTCCTTTGGCACAATAAAGTCATTACTATTATGAATTTGAGTTTCCTCCCCGCAGTCTCTTTGGCCAAAACAGATACTAGTGTTATTTTTGATTTAATTAATATTTTAAAATTGGGTGGTATCATATCTGCAGAAATTCTATTTTCCAATAAATAATCCAATAAATTGGAAATAATATTTAAGTACAGTGGATAAAATCTTAAATCTTCTACAGTATCTGAATTAAAAGGATAAATGTTTTTTGTAATGTAACTGCTACATTGATTGTATGTTGAACTGCTGTTTAAATCCTGTCTTTTGATAATGTCATTGTCACGTTCCAGTGTCCTGCATAAGAACAGCCAGCAACACAAGTCAAGGTGATAACATTTATCTGGAAACGTGGACCCGGCACGAAGCAACCATCCAGAAAGGAATAAAAGTTTGTGCTACCGTGGTTACTTCACCACCCCCTTATATCGTGCTCCACCCCCCCCCCCGTGTTACACTCCTCCCGCAGACTGATTGCTGCCAATGCGGCTGCCACAGTCAGGCCACACCCTACCTTTCTTCCTATCCCAGCTTAGCCCACCCAGCCTCTTGCTTCCACCCGCGATCCAACAATCAGCTGTTTTCCCCCCAACCCAATAGTCAGTTGTTCCATTGTAAGCCAAAACTCAGTTGTTCAAAGTCCGGGCCTCCGCTAGTCAGTCAGTGGCCCCATGGAGGCACGGTCCGGGTAATATGGGTCACAGGCATGCATCCGGAATGCCGTCCCAGCTGGCGGCTCCTTCCTGCCAGGATGACAGTCCGGCGTGGCCATTGATACCCATGCGCGCACGTCCCAGCTGCCACTCCTCCCCCACCCAAATGGTGGCCCCAGGCTGTTCAGTGGTTTGGGGTGACATGCGGCCCTCTACCGGGGGACAACACTTGGAAGACAAAGAATAGCATTAGCCGCCTCCTGGGGATCTGCCCAACCCGGTTTGCCTGGATTTTGTTGGTGGAACCGTTTCACCAACCGAGGGGCTCTCATAACCTCTTCCTTCACCCATGAGGCTACTGATACGGCATACCCCTTCCATTGTACCAAATACTGTACATGGCCTCTATGCCTATGGGAGTCCAGTATTCTTTCCACCTCGTAGTGCAATTCTCCACCTACCTGGATGGGAAGAGGCATCTGCTTTGGGGCCCCTTGTATGGTTGCAGTCCTCACTGGACATCATAGGTTACTGTGGAACACTGGGTGGGTCTTGCCAAGAATGGGGGCAGTTTGAGTTCCACAGTAACGGGATTGATGTCCTGTATGATTGGGATGGGTCCTAGAAACTTGGGGGCTAACTTCTGACTGGGTACTTGGAACCTAAGATATTTTGTGGAGAAGTACATCTGCTCCCCCACTTTAAAGGGGACTTGGGGGCTATGTTTCCTATCTGCTTGAATTTTATAGGTTTCTGCCACTTTTTGCAAGGCCTCCTTGGCATGATCCCACACCTGCCAGCCAATCACTTAGGCCTATATCAGCAGGGGCCTCTCGAGGACACTCAGGTATCGGGACAAACTCAGTTCCGGTCACGATTCGGAAGGATATGAATCCGGTACTACTATGCACCACGTTGTTATATGCCACCACAGCAAACGGCAATAGATCGGCCCAGTCAGTCTGTTGGTACTTAATGTAGCAGCATAGATACTGTTCCAACATTGAGTTGGTCCTTTCGGCTGTCCCATTGGTAGCAGGGTGGAATACAGAGCTGAGGCCTTGTGAGGACCCCATCATCTTCAGAAACCCCTGCCAAAATCTCGCAGTAAATTGCACCCCCTGGTCAGAAATGATCCTTCGTGGCACACCATGGAGGTGATTAATGTGGATAATAAACAACTTTGCTAGCTTTTGAGCTGATGGGAGGCCAGGACAAGCCATGAAGTGGGCCTGCTTCAAGAAAAGGTCTATTATGGTCCAGATCACGGTATTGCCACGGCTTTCTGGGAGGTCCACTATAAAGTCCATGGCCAGTTTCTCCCAGGCCTGGGTGGGATTTGCCACTGGCTACAAGAGGCCAGGAGGCTTCCTGGGTCTTCTTCTTCATAGTGGCAGAAACGGGGCAGCTCTGTACATAGTTCTCCAGGTCTTTCTTCATCCATGACCACCAAAATTCTTGGTTCGTCAAATGGAGGGTTTTCAAGAATCTAAAATGCCCACCCATCTGGGCGTCAGGCATTTCTGCAACACAGCCAGGTGTTGGGACTCTGGCATGTATCTTTTTGATCCTTTTCACGCTAGGCTGTCATGCCACATAAGAAGCTGCCAGTTTGCCTGGAACCAGGGGTTGGTGAGCAGGGCTGTTTGTAGAGAACAGGAGATATCGTCCATACTCTTCCCTCTTGCAGTCATACCTGGCGCCTTTCGTCCACATGTGCCACTTGCGAAGGCCCAGGCACTATAGCATGCACCAAGTCTTCCAGGTTGCCATTTTATTGTGGCTTCCTCGATAAGGCATCTGCCAGGAAGTTCCATCCCCCAGGAATATACTTCAGTGTAAAATAGAAGCGCCTGAGTACAGTGCCCACTGGACCTGTTTGGGTGACAGTTTACGTGGGGACTATAGGGACCTCAAGGTTTTTATGGTCGATCTACACCTCGAATGGAGTCGCAACCCCCTCCAAGAGATGCCTCCATGTCAATAAGGGCCGCCAGACCACAAAGGCCTCCTCCCATATAGCCCATCGATGTTCTGTGTCGGTAAGCTTGTGGGAGGCATAGGTGCAAGGTTGTAGTCTGCCCTCTTCATTGGTTTGTAATGGAATAGCCCCTACAGCCACATCACTGGCATTGGCCTGTACTACAAAAGGCTTGGTGGGGTCCGGGTGTCTCAGTATTGGCTCCTTAGTGAACAATGCCTTCAGGGTTTCAAAGGCTTGTTGACATTCCATTGTCCATTTCAATGGGTACCCTGGCCTAGGCTTCCCAGCTAGGTGTTTGGTTTTCAGGAGGTCTGTGAGGGGAAGAACGACTCTTGCAAAGGATGGGATGAATTGGCAATAGAAGTTCGCAAAGCCCAAGAAGCTTTGCAATTGTTTCTGAGTTTTCAGGGCTTGCCAATCTAGCACTGCCTGTACGTTGGCCGGGGGTCCATTTCCACTACCTCCCCTGATACTCTGTAGCCAAATCTAACTTGGCCTTATGGAATTCACGTTTTGATAGTTTGACATACAAATTCGCTACCAATAGTTTCCTCAGAATCTGATGCACTTGTTGAACGTGTTCGTCCATGGACTTAGTGTAAATTAAGATGTTGCCTAAATAAATGAGCACCCCCTCATACAGGTGGTCATGCAGGATCTTGTTAATCAACTGCATGAACACGACTGGTTCCCCCTGCAGCCCAAACGGCATCACTCTGTATTGTTAGCTACTCAATGGGCAATTAAAAGCCGTTTTCCACTCATCCCCTTCCCTTATCTGAACCTGGTAATAGGCTTCCCTGAGATCTAATTTGGTGAATATGCGTCCTTCAGCCAAGTGAGCTAGCATGTCCTTCATAAGGGGTAGGAGGTACAAGTGCTCCACACACACTCCATTGATTCTGCAGAAGTCCACACATAACTATAACCCTCCATCTTTCTTTTCCCTGAACAGGATCCAGGCTGTGATACAGGACCTCACGGGTTGTATAAAACCCCTGGCCAAGTTCTTTTCTATATAACTCCTCATCTCTTCCATCTCCTTAGGGGTCATAGAATACATTTTTGGTTTTGGCAGCTTAGCTCCTGGTTGTATCTCCACAACGCAGTCTGTCAGATGGTAGGGGCGAAGAATGTCACACTCCTTGCTGAAAACTTCAGCGAGGTCATGATATACTCAGTGGTGGGTTCCAAAATTTTTTACTACTGGTTCTGTGGGCGTGTCTTATTTTGTGGGTGTGGCTTGATGGGCATGTGATGGGCATGGCTTCATAGTCATGTGACTGGGTGGGCACGGTTTTGTGGTCATGTGACTGGGTGGGGGTAGCTTCCTGGTCATGTGACTTGGGTGTGGCTTTGTGGTCATGTGACTGGGCGGGTGTAGCTCACTGGTCATGTGACTGGATGGGTGTGGCCAAGTCAACATCACTGAGTTTTTTGCCCTAATGGATGACCTACAAAAAGAAGATATACAAAAAGGTAGTTTATTATTTCGTGCACTTATTTACACAAGAATAAAATAAGTACACAAAACAATAAAAGAGCTACATATAGAAGAACAATGAAAGTGTTGTCTGTCTTCAACATCACAGACTTCCTTGCTCTAATGAATGACCTGCATATAGAAGAGATACAGAAAGGAACTTTTTAATTGCATGCACTTATACATTACATAAGAATAACGCACTATAAAAGCTACACACAAGTACTTACAGAAGAACGATGACAGTGTTGTTTGTCTTCAACGTCACTGACCACCGTGCCCTAATGAATGACCTGCACAAAGAAGAGATACAGAAAGAAAGTTTTTAATTGCATGCACTTACACCTTACATAAGAATAACACACTGAAAGAGCTACACACAAGTACTTACTTGTGTTACTTGTCCTTAGCTTTAAGATGTTTCCACTTCGTTCTTTCATTGGCAGCGGCAACCTCCTCAGTTGCAATTTTTTTGCTCTTGATTGTTGGATCATCAGCTGTGCGATGATATGCTCTTAACCATTTTGTGACAGAAGGAGGGTCCCATTTTGTTACAGGTAGGCCAATTACACTAATTATCATCAGACTGCTTATGTTGGGAATAGTTAGGTGAGTTCTTTGTTCTGAATACTGTATATGAGGTTCATTTTTGAAAAACCCCTTTCCACCTCTGCTGAACTCACAGCAATTGTTCTGACAATATCTTTAGCTTTTTCCTTAAAAAAATGCATTTCCTAAAAACAATAACATTTCCCAAAAAATACATGTCCTAAAAACAACAACATTTCCAAAAGAAATACATGTCGAGTCCAAAGCCAGGGCTCGACATACCTGGGGGAGGGGGGTTGTGGGCGAACAAGTAAGCAATGAGACTGGCAGGGCAGGTAGTGGGAACAAGCTTCAACCAGCTGATGGTGGGTGAGCAAATGCAGAGCAGATTCAAAGCCCCGCCATAGCAGGCAACGACTGATGATGTCATGGGGATCTGAGGAGCCACACCAGATGGATATTTCAAAACCTCACCAAACAGGTGAGAGGGGCAGGTCCGGCTGCTGGATGGTGGCTAACCAGCCCAGCTAAAGGAGTGCTGAGAGGCAGAAGCTCTCAGTGCTGGCTTTGAATATGTACATGCTGTGTTCTGTGGACTGGGCTTTGTAAGCGCCAAAATAAAGAAGCTCTGCTAATCCAGTTTGGATTTCAGGCTTTATTGTGCTCCGCCCGAGCCTAGCTCAGACAGAGCTGAGAGAAAGTCAGTGGTCCCTTTTCCTTACATCCTGCTTGGAGCA